CTGGCCGACGTTGATTGGGTGGAGCCGTCCACGTCCTTGTCTATGCTCACCGCGCTTAGCACCGGCTCTGCATTAATGTGCTGTGGGGGGGAAGGGGTAATAGGACAGGGGAGGATGGGCAGAGAGGGGAGAGATTGACCCGTCCACGTCCTTGTCTATGCTCACTGCACTCAACACCCTCTCTGCATTGATGTGCTTGGGGCAATGAAATAGGGGGGCGGGGAAGGGGGAAGGCAAGGGGGAGCGCCTCAGTAGCGCTGGCCGATGTTGATTGGGTGGAGCCCGTCCACGTCCTTGTCTTTGCTCGCCGCACTTAGTACCCTCTCCGCGTTGATGTGGTGCGGGGGAGGAGGGGGGGGGAGAAGGGGGCGAAAGGAGGGGGGGAGTGGAGCGAACAGGGGGAGGAGTGGGGGGTTGGGGGGAAAAAAGGGCAGCTGCACCAGCACGCCGTGCACGTCCGGGTTGTCGTTTAGCTCCCGCACGGCCGCCACCACCTCCTCCTCGCTCACATCCCAACTCCACCAGCATTACCCTTTAAACCCCAGAACCCCCCATCGAACCTTGGGCAGGGGCAGCTGCACTAGCACGCCATGCACGTCCGGGTTGTCGTTTAGCTCGCGCACCGCCGCCACCACCTCCTCCTCGCTCACGTCGGCCGGAAGATCCACACCGAAGCTCGTTATCCCCGTTTCAGCGCACGCCGCTTTCTTCATACGCACGTACGACTGCGAGTCCTTCCTATCGCCTACTAAAACCACCGCCAATCCCGGCGTCAGGTGCGCGCCCGGCAGTGCCTGGAGCCGCTTTACCTCCGCTGCGATCTCGCGTTTAATCTCCTCCGCGATCGCCTTCCCGTCGATTAAAGCCGCCTCGTGGGCGGGGGCCGGAGCCGCGGCGCCTTCTGCGGCCGCGGCGGCTAGTATCGCGCGGAGCGAGTTCTGCGAGGTCTCTAAAGCGGGGAGCGTTTTAAGAACGTTCTGCCAGGCGCGGTTCCTCTGGCCGCTGCTGCTGCTTCTGAGAGACGTAAACGCGGCGCTTCGGGAGGCCGCGGGGGGGGTCACGGCGGAGCTCGAAACGGAGCGCGCGGGAATAGCGGCGCGAGAAAGGGGAAACCCTGAAGGTGTTTGGACAGGAAAAAGCGAGAACTGCGAGAAACTGAGGCTGTAGGTAGGCAGTGGAAAGGCGAAGGGGCGGGAATGATGTGACGCAGTTAGGAAAGAGCAGCACCCGCAGCAGAGATAAAATGTAGAGTCCATCCACCCGAATCTGGTAGCGAACTGCTAATAATGCGTACAGATCGACTCACCATGAGAGGTATGGGATGCCGTCACACAAGGACCAGATCTGTGCGGATCTGACGCGATCCGCCGATTAATGCCGTCCTTCACTGGGGCAACCGCGCCGCCGGCGCAGAAAGACGAGGTCCGGGACGAGAGATTGATAAACATTGGTACGGATTTCGCGGAACCGCGAATCGATCCGAAGGACGGCAATCTCATAAACCACGCGCCACGGTCATACAACCAGCGCGAAATTTTATGCTATTAATGTTTTCACCAAAATCGCAACGCAGTTGAATGCCTCGCACACAGCCGGACACAGCGGTAGACACAGAGTGGCAATATTATCAACCAAGCACAAGGTAAGGCAGTAACGCGGTAAAGCGGTAACGCAGTAAACGCGGACACAATGGCAGGTCAGACCATTGCCACGGCAGAAAACAAGCAGTAAACTTAGTGCAAGTGATTTTGCAACCCTTCTGATCGCATGACGTGGGAAGAATGAAACGCTGCGAGCAGGTAAGCGCCTCGCAATCTTGGAGAAAATCCCTAAACTCGACCTGTGGGAGTGGGAGTGATGGAACACAGACGAGGCTTGCAATAATGTGCTTTGGTGGGGTGGGTTGTGGTGGGGTTGTATGAGGCGATTGGCAAGTGCAGCCTAAAGATAGGCCACTAAGCTATAAACAATGGTGTATCATCAGACGTGATAGTGTATGTACTAGGTGGTGGTGGTGTTTATAGCCAGCGACCTGTACCACACATCTCCAATATAGAATTTAGGAGCCATGAAATAACATACTAGATATACGGACAATGAAACAACAAACGTGGCTCAAATAATAGTGAAGGTGTGGTCATTTGATCTTTATGGACGCTATATATATGTGAAATATACATGAATATTAAAAACTGGGATCTGAAACATATTATGTAGTAAATGAACCTCACATGAAGTCAAAGTGTGTATGATAAGCTGGATGTATGATGATGTTTGTAGGGCTCTCATGTTCTGGTTTTGTTGCTCCTTTGCAATACATAAATTCTGAGGTTTGCACTATCGAGTGCAGTTGATGCAAGATGCGAGTGGAAGAACAGAAAGCGGATCTTGTGAGGTTCCCTCTCAGTCACGTGGATCGGGAACGGATTAGGTTGCCGAGTCACACGTATCTAGCAGTGACTTGGTTCTCGTGTGAGGTATTAGCAGGTGACGTATTTCTGACGTCTTCGCAGATTTCTCTTCCCTGCGATTTGGATTTCCATTTTAGCGCGCTGAATATCCTTCCAGCATTTTTCCGTGACGTGCCTCGGCCCCTGTCTGTCACGTCACAACAATGCCTTTTGAATTGCCTCGGCCGGAAATGGCGGGAACGTGGAGTCGCGGGGAGAGTCGTGAAGCAGAGTTGGAAGATTCTCTGTGTTGGAGCTGGTCCCGATTTGTCAAACAGGTTGCGCCACGTCATTTGTGGGTAAAGCCAGCCTGGTACGTACGACTCTACAGTGTAATATGATCCAACCTACAAAGCAAACAAACCGACCTAGCGTTTTGTGGAGAGGCATCAGCTACCCAAGAGTCGGCTCTCAACTTCTGGGATTGGGGGTCAAAAGGTTGCCTGCCCTTTCATTGTCATGAGCATGAACTGTACTGTAACAATTCCTGAAATTGTTCCCTGGCAGTCAGCTTCTACCTGCAGAGCTGACCTGGAAGCTGCCCGTTCTGTTGTGGCAAGCACCAGTGAGTTCCCAGGTTCACTCCATTGCACCCGCATGCCGGAATGATGGCACAATGCCAACTGTTGCCATCTGTTGGTCAACCTTGAATGGGGCAACTCCCACAGGCTGGACAGACAAACGGGCGATGCGCAGGGGTTACCGACACTGGTCAGCTCGTGAGGTGTTTCGTTTCACGTTTCATAAATCAGGTGGATGAGTGTTTCTCACGCAATAAACTTCGTTGCATGCGACTGTACAACATTCGTTACGAGCACCATCACCCTCAAACAACAATTGGCGCGCCAGGTGGTACGACCGGTGCGACTGCTGAACGCTTATTTCTCTTCGCAGGACAGTATTGGCGATCAAACGAAAGCTCCAGTAAGTAAACCAACGAAAGCTCGAATAAGTAAACTGGGAATGAAACCTGCCCGAAGTACAACATTGTCTCATTGATTTTCCAACCTCTCCTCACCTCATCAACTGCCAGCAAACCTCTCCAAAAGGGATCACTCGCAGAAAGAGGATGGAATCATGACACGCGGCTCGCAATCCACGTCGCGGTCTGCCACGGCGCACAACCAACTGAACCGAACCGAAACCCCGCCCCAGTTGAAACGAGCTAGCGAATTCAGACGCATGCGCCACATGTATCGATTCCGCGCATGCCATGCATTCCCCCCTATTTGAGCTTCTCTGCCTAAACCCGCGATAGCCATCCCACCCGCGCCGAACAGCACCCAGGTCAGCAACTGTTTTGTTCACGTGATTGTGACTCATCCGCTGTGTGCATCCCTCCCGCCACACCTACTCCCCACCCAATCAGAACGCGCGCCTTTTCCTCGTTTCAACCCCCCGAACCCCGCTCCCACATATTCCACGCACTCGTCGCCTTGACGTCACAACTGCACCTCGTGCGGTTGCGTGTTTTCAACCTCCGTCCACCTCGATCCCATCCACATATGATCCTCCTCGGTTTCATATTTCTTCCATCCCATCCATCTAGTTCCATGCATCCCAGGCTCCCAGCACATTACTGTAGTATATTCTCCATCACAACTTGATTCACTAGCAGAAAGCACTGTCACTCTTTCCTCGCTTCACCATCACAAATCCCTCAATACCTTACTGTAACACATCGCAACCACACCACACTCCTTGTTTTAACGCAATCCGCACTCTCCCAAAAATTGTTTCCGTGCTCGGCTGGTCATCCATTTCCTCTGCTTCCTGCTCCCTGCCTCCCTACATCCCTCCGCAGCAGCTCCGCTCCCCCCTCGATCCAAGAAACGCCAAGCCATCGAGTCTAGATCGTTCCCCTCTCATCCACTTCCACAGTGCCTTCCATTCCCTCCGCGACAACGTTCCCCTCCGCTCCCCCCATGTGACATCGAACTTGGATCGAAACCCCACGCGACATTGAAGCTGGTCAGCTTACCTCGGCACGAACAGGCATACTTCCTTAGCCAATCGCGCGAGGGAATCACTCCATTGTTCCTTGATTTCCGCACATTTCACACCTTCTCGACCTCCCAGCCATTGCTCCCTCTGCTCACTCTGCTGTCTGCTCATTCTGCTTCTGGTCCTTCTGGTCTCGCGTCGGGACTTAGCCGTCTCTTTCGCTCACATCGCATCGCTTCCGTTGCCCGACGGAATTTCGACGGTCGTCACTTACGCTTGCCTTGACTGCTACTGACCAACCAGCCTAAGGCAGAGACGAGAGTCTTAGCAGTCGTACAAAAGGAGCCATACCTCCGACTTCATACCTCAGACCTCAGTCACTAATCTCGCGAGGCGTCCTCTTCTCGCGTCTCTCCCTCCGCGATTTCCCTCGCAATTTCTTCTCGCCCTCAATTGTCTGTCGTACGGCGACAGATCACTCAATTCGCCCAGACACCAGTCACGTCTCGTCTTAGACTCCTTTGACTGATTCTGATTGCATGCCGTCCGTCCTTAACGCGCCACCCACGCACCGAACGCGGCGGCGGCTCGCAGGAGACACGCAGAATGCCTGGAATCTTTAACATCTGGCCCGCACACGGGCCCGCTACCGCTAGTAGTAACTTCCGAACTGCTCCCGCCGCATCTTCCGCCGCATCTGCCGCTGGAAATTTCTTCAGCAAGCAGGAGTATCTGTCGTTTGCCGTTGACCACCACGTCGCGACAAAACCGGCGGACCTGCTGCTGACTGCGGAGATTTCCGCAATCGCCGGCGTGATTCCCGCTCCGGTGTTGCCGCATCACACGCCCGCGTCCCCCGCGGTGAAATCGCTGCTGTTCAACCAGCCGTCGATCTCGCCGCACAACCCGCCGCGTCTTCCGCTCGCTGGAATTGGCGCGCTGCAGCAAATCCTTCGCACCGCAGCTTCCGGCGCCAATTCCGTCGAACGGAGTCGCGGCTGCGCTAGCGGCACCCTTCTCGCAGCGCAAATTACAGCAGTCGGCGGGCCGGCAGTGGAAAGGTCAGCAGCGGCAAAGGCGGGGGAGAGCTCAGCGGCAACTGCGGCGGTGACTGCGGCGAACAGCGGCAGCAGCCGAGGGCTGCATTTAATCCACGGGGCATGGCCGACGGGCAGTCATGGGAAGACGGCCGCAAGTCACGGCGCCAAGAGCGGTGGCAGCTACGACAGCAACAGGTGTGTTTCGAAGCACTTTGGTTTGCAATGATGTTTCTGTTATCACTTCCCTCCTCCCCGCAACCCCCGCCTGCCCCTACTCCCATGGTTATTAGCCCATTTTGTCTCTTAGAACGCTGGCTTACCCGTTTCCGTTCCTTGCCCCCCTTCCCTCCCTTCCCCACTTCCCTCTCCCCCTCCCCCTCCGTCGCTCCTTCCCCCGCGCAGTTCCGGTAGCGCGCACGACTCGTCGTCCGTGTGTTTGGCGGAGATGGTTTCCGATTTCATGGAGACCGGCTCGGCTGAGAGCCACACGCTCGACCATCGCCTGCTTGACGCGATTCACGGCAGCGAGGGTGGCTATAACGCGGATGCGATGTACGCGCGCATCGCGGAGCAGGACGCGCAAGCTCCGCGGATGGGGGAGAGCGGCGGGTGGTGCGGAATGGGGGATGTCTCGAGCCTCATTGAGGTGAGGGGGAAAGAGGATACGGGGAATGGGGGAGGCGGAATGGGGATGGGGATGGCCAATGAGAATGATTTGATGTAGCTGCTGTTATTCCCCGTATCGACCGTGGAATGCTCAACTCACCCCCGCCCCTCCCCCTTTCTCTCCGCCCTTTCCCCTTTGCGGCCCTCCCCCAGTCCCTCAGCGCCTGCACCTCCGCGGACGAATGCCAGCTGTTCGCTGACGTCATCGCCGCCCTCAAAACAGCCAAGAAGGAAGCCTCTTCCTCAAACGCCGCAGGCGCCAACAGCAGCACCGCAACCAGCGGCAGCAGCAATGGCGCCAGCAGCAGCGGCAGCAACGGCAATCTGAGGCGGGCGGTGATGTGCCTGCTGAGGTCCAAGGGGTACGACGCTGCAGTGTGCAAGGCACGGTGGGAGCACTCCAAGGGCCTCCCTGGCGGCACATACGAGTACATAGACGTCATTCTGCCGTGCCAAGGCAGTGCTGCTGCCGCTGCTACCACCACGACCGCTGCCGCTGCTACCACCACCGCCGCTGCCACCACCCCGTCCCCGTTCTCACCGTCCGACCGAATCATCGTCGACATTGAGTTCCGCGCCCAGTTCCAAATCGCCCGCCCCACCTTCGCCTTCGACGCTGTCGTCCACTCCGCGCCCATCATCTTCGTCGGCCGTCTCAACCGCCTGCTCAAGATCACTGAAGTGCTCGCAGATGCCACCCGGCAGAGTCTGCGGGAGCAGGGGCTGCACCTGCCGCCCTGGCGCCGGGCTGAGTATCTCCGGACCAAGTGGGCTGGCCCGTACCGGAGGACCACGAACCAGATTCCAAGGTCCGGTAGCAGCTCGCAGCTGGCTGGCGGTTCGGGAGCGAGCCTGGTGGCTCCGGCTGCTGCTGCTGGCGATTCTGCTGGTCTGTTTGGGCTTCCCTCGTCGCGGCAGCAAGCTGCGTCTGGTCGGCGAGGGCAGGAGGTGCACCAGCAGCAGCAGCAGCCCCATCAACAACCCCATCACCAGCCGCATCACCAGACCCATCAAAAGCACCTCCATCACCAGCCCTTCCTCGCGGTCTCACGGCCGGTTTTCCTGCCTCACAATGCAGCACGCCCTGCGCCCGCCATGTTCCCTGCACCGCCTGCCGCTGCTGCCCCCTTTGATGTGCCTGGTAACCCATTCGCAGTAACCGAGAAGAGGAGCACGGTTACCGCATACGGCAAGAAGCCGAGCGCGGTGACAGGGTTCGGCCGTGAGGCTGTGGAAGGAAGTGCCTCGGGTGTGGTGGCGAGGCATAGCGATGGGGAGCATGTCAGCCAAGGGCGGGGCATTGTGATGCGGAGTGGTGTGAGTCACGTGAGCCAGATTGGTTTGGAGATGCGGAGATTGGCAGAGGAGAGAGCATACAGGCAGCACGGTTACTGCTGATGACGCTGGTTACCACCAGTAGCAACAGCAGCAGCAGCTACTGATGCTGATGCTGATGCTGATGCTGGTTGCTGGTGGTGGAGTGTCTGGAGCAGCATTTTCTGTCTGAGCTCAGCTGAGTCAGCTCTGCTGACATGTGCAGCGTATACAGAGGGGCATTTCTAACTTTACCCGGTGCTGCGTTGAGCAGCATAAAGATTTTCCACTTGAGGCGCCTCAAGATCCCGGTGCTGCAGGCAGCAGCGGAACCACTTTTATGTGGCGGGGATTTCGTTTTTGCCACATTGCCTTCATTGGTGGGCCTAGCCTATGAGAAGGCACCATTCATCCTATCCAGCTTTTGTGAAGGATGCAATTTTGTTGAAATGTTTGGGTTTCCTTGGGAGTTTTGTTCCTTCGTTTATGTGTTCCCTTGTGTGCCCTTCTGTGTGCATAATAGGTGATTTGCCGTTTCATGTGTGCTCAAGTGCCTTGCAAAGCAGGTTCAAAATTAATTTATTTGTAAAAGGATGGAATCATGGTGGACTGACAAGATTTCTTAGATACGCTAAGTGAAATCGGCTCATACGCTAAACCTGGTACAGTCATGCCCTGCGAAACGCACAGCGTTACAAATCATGCATTCGCCTGGGCTTCGAATTTCCCTCGAATTTGCCGAACCCAGTCCGACAGCCGAGCTCCTTCAACCTGGACAACTCCACTTCCACATGCTTGGTAATACAGTACTCCAGAAGTGTGGCGCACTTCGGTTTTGTACGGTGCGCAACTTTGGCAGTCTCTTTAGAGTGGTTGGGTAGAATGTTTAGCACTGTCATGCCTGCCAAATTCGATCATGAAGAACTTGATCATCACTGATCAGCGAGCACCATGGTCCTTGTCATTCATAAGCTCTTGCAGCTAGGCATTGTCACGGATCAATGGTCTTAGGCAGCTTGGCTTCTTAGAGGACGATGGAATCAGGCTAATATCTCTCCAAGAGTGACGTATTTCGTCAAGTAAGACGTAGTCATCGCGCAGAAGAAACTACATGTTCAATTATCGTTTTCGCAGGGAGTACTCGCGGCTGAAGAAGTTTTTATCATTTCTGATTTTCCAAATTCTTAGTTGATCCTGAGAGGAATGCTCTGATTCCGGACAAGGTGCGTTGACTTGATGGCTCGCTCCGCGTGGCCAGCACGTGAAGGCACGTTGCTGCCACGTGGCGCTTCGCCGAGCCACGAAAGTCTATGCACCCTAGGTTTGATCTTCGCAACAATCACGTCGTTGGCGATACGAGTGGTCGCAGGAACGACGGTTATCCACATGGATAGCAGCTGCATTGTTCCCTTGAGCTCCCTTTCGCAAAGAATACGCAACTGCAGCATCAGCATCAGCATCAGCAGTGTCAGCAGCAGCAGGAGGAGGTATTGCAAGAGCAGAGTATCCGGCGATAATTCCGAAGCAGCACCAGACGCAGCAACGGAAGACATGGATTCTGAAAGGCTTGCTTGCTTTGCAAGCCTTGCTGGAAAACACCTATCTGTCCGTCAGTGCGGACCCACGAGCTGGCTGGGTATGGCAGGTTGTTTAGCGGACAGAAACTGTTCCGATACACGCTTATGCTCTACCTGGAAAGAGCCTCTTGATAGAGGTTATAAGGCGGATGACTGTGACCAGAATTCTTCGCAGGGTGATTGCTGTTCCGGGCCAGGTTCGGGACGATGTTCGGAGTCAGGCTCGGGATTGGAGCAGGTAACAGGGCTGGATTTTGAGGTTTGGAGGGAAGGATGGCAAGACGAACATGCAGAGGGGAAGGGAGGAACGCAAGGAGGCAATGATGGGATGGACTTGGTTACGATTCGTCCATCTCAAACTGAAGCTTTCAGTACGGCAGAGGAGGTTTCCAAGACAGGAGGCCAGGCTCGGGAAGGTACATCGAGGCTCGGCAAAAAGGTTTCTGAGGCTCAGGGTGGGGAAGTTCGCTTGGAGCCTGTGCTAGACGAGTGGATAGTCCGGTTCACTTCATACGAACCTGTGGAGGTGCATCGGCAACGGCTGATAGATGCTTTAGAATCTCCCCGAATTCCGGACGCTAGCCAATCAGGAAGCTTTACTGGAAGCACTGGATCAGGAAGCAGCGGCAGTCAGTCAGGAATTGGCCAATCGGGTGCAGCCAGATGGCACTGGGTAGAAAGGACGAATCCAGCCATGGCCTTTCCAACGGATTTTGGCGTTTTGCTGGTTGAGGGAGCTGAGACGGAAGGGGAGGACGGGGAGAGGGGGACAGGGGGCAATGATTGGGAGGATCTGAAGCGTCAGATTGAGGGCCTTCCGTTTGTGAAGGATGTACACCGTCAGATGAAGTACACTCGCTCACTGATGTACAGTGAGGGGGAGGGGGAAGGGGGGGACAGGAAAGGCGTTGGAAACGAAAGGAGGAGAGAAAGAGAGGGAGGAAATCAGAGAGGAGGAGAGAGAGGAATAAGAGGAGGAAAGGGAGGGAGTGGGGCAGGCATTGAAGGAGGAGAGACAGATCAAGGTGAAGAGGACACATGGCTTGAAGGGTGGGGGGAGGAGGAGGAAGGGGGAGGGTGGGATGTGAGGGGACCGGTGAGGAAGCCTCCTGGAAGGCTGCGAACGAGAATGTCATTTGAGGAAGGGGAAATTCCCGAGGGAAGAGTGAGAGGGTCTAGGGGTTTGACTGGGAGGGTTCAGGGTTTTGGGGTTGGGGGCGAGGGGAAGAGGGGCAGGCGAAAGGAGGACGGGGAGTATGAAGAGGATAGGATGCGTGTGGGTGCGAGGGAGTTGAGATGGGTGGAGAGCAGTGAAGAGGGAGGGGAAGTGGTGGGTGCGAGCGAGGGACGATCAAGAAGAAGGAAGAGGAGAGGGATGGAGGAAAGGAGGATGGAAGAAAGGAGGAGGAGGAACAGGCAAAAGAGGCGAAAGTGGCAGATGAGGCATTTGGAAGAGTCCTTTGAGGGAAAGCATGAGATTCCTCAAAGTGATTTATCTGCTGCTGGGTCGTTTCTCAGTAGGGCCTGGAATGTGTCGGCTGCTGCTGTCAACCGCCGACACCTGATGCAGGTGGGAATTGTGCAGATGCGAACTGAGGCAGGTGGGAACTGAGGCAGGTGGGAACTAAGGCAGGTGGGAACTGATGCAGGTGGGAAGGAGCTGAGGCAGGTGGGAACTGAGGGAGGTGAATATCAGGCAGGTGGGAACTGAGAGGTGAAAGGCCAGGCAGATTGATCTATTTGCTAACTATTATTTTCCACCCTTCCTTTCCCTCTGCAGGCGCACAAGTCTCAGATCACGTCTCTGTTCCACGCGGAGCGGCTGTGGGCCAAGGGCTTCTCTGGGACGAATGTTAAAATGGCTGTTTTTGACACGGGCATTCGAGCAGACCACCCCCACTTCCGCAATATCAAGGTGAGAAATCATTCATTAGACCAACCCTATCCTGGACTAAAAATCAGAGGATAGAGTCATCGGCACCAGCCCCAGTTTGGCTATATCAAGGTAAGAAACAAGTTGTTATTCCAAACCAATTTTGGAATATCATAAAAAAAAATGGAGTCATCAGTGCACGAGGTGACTTTTGTGTCGACTCATAAGTCAAATGGAGTCATCAGAGCACATTCATCTCTGCTGTATCAAGGTGAGAGCTAAGCATCAGCACAGCACCCCTTCTCCGAATGTATGTCATTCAGCTCCCCCCATTTAATAATCTAATTCCCCCATTCCCCCCTCCCAGGAGCGCACCAAGTGGACCAACGAGGACACGCTAAGCGACAGCCTGGGCCACGGCACGTTCGTGGCGGGTGTGATAGTCAGTTGCAGCTCCAGCCATTCAGTTACTCCCACCCACCCATCCACCCCACACACGTCCACCATGAGCGCACCAACTGGACCAACGAGGACACACTAAACGACAGCCTGGGCCATGGCACGTTCGTGGCAGGGGTGATCGCCAGCCACGACTCGCACTGCCGCGGGTTTGCCCCAGATGCTGAGATCTACGCCTTTCGGGTGTTCACCAACGCACAGGTGAGTTGCGCTGTGTAAAGGTACCTGTTTGCTTGCACCAAGGGAGAGTCAGCTCGCTGGAAGATGGAAATGGCCGGGGTGATTGCCTGCCAGCCACCAGCCATGACTCGCACTGCCACGGTTTTGCCCCCGACGCTGAGATCTATGCATTCCGAGTCTTCACCAACGCACAGGTGAGTTGCGCTGTGTAAAGGTACCTGTTTGCTTGCACCAAGGGAGAGTTGGTTTGCTGGAAGGTGGAACTGGCTGGGGTGATTGCCAGCCATGACTCGCGTTTCCGTGGAATTGCTTACGATGCGGAGATTTACACCTTCCGAGTCTTCACCAACGCACAGGTCAGTTGGGGTGCCTGAATGCAAACGCCAATACTTTCACCTCTGCTTGGGTAAGACACACCTCAAGGTGGAGGTGGGGGGGTGATTGATCGCCACCAGCCACGATTTGATTCCCTCCCACTGCTGCAATTTCGCCCCTGACTCCGAGATCTACGCCTTCCGAGTTTTCACCAACGCACAAATGAGTTTTTTTTTAAGCTTAGCTGCCGTGTCAGGTGCCTGGTGGAAGCACACACCGCCTCAAGTGTGCAACTGGTGGGGGTGAGTGACTGCCAGCTATGACTCAATTTCCCTCCCACTGTCGCGGGTTCGCCCCTGATGCATCTTCCCCAGGTCTCTACGCCATCCTCACTCGCATGAACGTGCTCACTCTCAGCATCGGGGGACCTGACTACCTGTCCCCCTTCGCCCCCATCCCCCCACACGCACCAGGTCTCATACACGTCGTGGTTCCTAGACGCGTTCAACTACGCCATTCTCACACGCGTGAACGTGCTCAACCTCAGCATTGGGGGGCCTGACTACCTCGACCGGCCCTTTGTGGAGAAGGTGGGGTCTTGGGTAGGGGGGATTGGAGAGGGTTGGGGAGGGGTAGGGAGTAGAGGGGAGGGTTGCAGAGGGACGGGGGACTTGGAGAGAGAAGGGAGCAGCGGGGGTGGCGCACCACCTCGACCGGCTGCTTGTGGAGAAGGAGGGGTGGGGATGGGTTACGAGGGGTGGGGAGGGGTGAGGAGGGGTGAAAAGGTGTGCGAAGGAATGGGAGCATGGGGGGCCCTGACTACCTGGACAGGCCGTTTTTGGAGAATGTGGTGGGGACTGGGTTGGGTGGGGTGGAGAGGGGTGGAGAGGGGTGGAGAGGGATCAGGAGGGATCAGGAGGGTGGCGGAGGGTTCGGGAGCATGGAGGCGAGAAGGCACGCTAGAGTCGACCCACCCTACACGCCACACTGCAAGCAGTGTGTTTGTCTGCTCTCCACCCCCACCATCCTCCCTTCTCCCCATTTCCTGCTCCGTTTTTCCTCCTCCCCCTTCCCCTCTCCCCTCTGGCCCCACTATTTTTTCCTCCCCACCCCACCGCGCTCCCGCCCGCCCATTTAGGTGTGGGAGGTAACAGGTAACGGCATTTTGATGGCGTCAGCCATCGGCAACGACGGGCCGCTGTACAGCACAGTCGACTCAACAACCCCTCGACGCAGACGAGAACGCAATTCCCCGTTCGCTCCTGCTGCCCTATCCTGCTGCCCTATCCTGCTGCCCTATCCTGCTGCCCTATCCTGCTGCCCTATCCTGCTGCCCTATCCTGCTGCCCTATCCTTCTGCCCTATCCTGCTGCCCTATCCTGCTGGCCTATCCTGCTGGCCTATCCTGCTGCCCTATCCTGCTGCCCTATCCTGCTGCCCTATCCTGCTGCCCTATCCTGCTGCCCTATCCTGCTGCCCTATCCTGCTGCCCTATCCTGCTGCCCTATCCTGCTGCCCTATCCTGCTGCCCTATCCTGCTGCCCTATCCTGCTGCCCTATCCTGCTGCCCTATCCTGCTGCCCTATCCTGCTCCACTCCTCCCTCACTTACCCCCAGGTGTGGGAGGTGACAGGCAATGGCATTCTCATGGTATCGGCCATCGGCAACGACGGGCCCCTCTATGGCACACTCAACAAGCCTGCGGACCAGAACGATGTGATTGGAGTGGGGGGCATCGACTACACTCTGCACATTGCTTCTTCTCTCATGACTCCTGCCCTTTTCTTTTCCCCCCTGCCTACTGTTTGTTCCTCCCTTTGCAGGTGTGGGAGGTGACAGGCAATGGCATTCTCATGGTGTCCGCGATTGGCAACGATGGGCCGCTCTATGGCACTCTCAACAACCCCGCGGACCAGAACGATGTGATTGGAGTGGGCGGCATTGACTACACTCTGCACATCGCGTCGTTTTCTTCCCGTGGGATGACCACATGGGAGCTGCCACACGGGTATGAGGGAGAGATAGAAGGCAGAGTGGGGAGTGGGGTTGAAGGGAGTGTGGTGCTGAGTTCAGTTGGAATTGGGGGCATTGACAACACTCTGCACATCGCGTCGTTTTCCTCCCATGGCATGACCACGTGGGAGCTGCCACACGGGTATGTTGTTGCTGTGAGATATTCATTTCCGGTTACTACACAGGTATGGGGTGAGACAGAACGATGTGAGATCGGGGTGGTGGGCATCGACTACACTCTGCATATTGCGTCGTTCTCCTCTTGTGGCATGACCACATGGGAGCTGCCTCATGGGTAAGAGGAGGGTGTGGGGGGTAAGGAAAATGGGGGTGGGGGGGCGGGTGGAGTGGGGAAGGTGAGGGGGGGTATGTGAGAGGTGGGAATGGGGGTTTAGAAGGAGCCACTTATCCCTGCCACTTGCTCACCGCTCTAAACCCCTCTATCTCGCAAGCACCCCTCCCTGCCCACCTGCCAACAGCCCCCAACTCTCCCACGCTCTGCCGCCCACCCTTTCCACCCCTCTCAGATACGGACGAATGAAGCCGGACATAGTCGCCTACGGGCGGGAGGTGGTCGGCTCGAAGATCAACGGCGGGTGCAAGAGCCTATCAGGGACGTCCGTCGCGAGCCCAGTGGTGGCCGGCGCGGTTTGTCTGCTAGCGAGCGTTGTGCCGGAAGCCGTGCGGTGGGGGCCGGGAGGGGTGCTGAACCCAGCGAGTATGAAGCAGGCCTTGGTCGAAGGAGCAGACAGGCTGAATGGGCCGCATATGTTTGAGCAGGGGTCTGGGCAACTCAACCTGTGAGTGTGAACCATTTCGCCTTTTTTTGTGTGCTTTGGAAACGTCTCGAAAGCCTGGTATGTTGTTGCTGGCAGCATTCTCAACTGAACTGAACTGAACATCAACCAAAGCCTGCGAGCACGAAGCTGGCTTTGGTTGAAGGAGCTGATAGGCTGAACTGAACAGGCCGCATATGTTCGAGCAGAGGGCGGGCCATTCGAGCGAGTTACAATGCTCCGAGCATTGGTCCACCCCACCCATCTGCGCTCGACCTCACACAGAGAGCCCCCACACGCGGCCCTGGTGCCCGGTGTCCCCTGCCCACCTCTAGGCCAACCTGTGTTCCTGCTCCTCCTGTTCCCTGCTTTCACCCGCCCTCCCCTTTCCCTCAACCCTTTCCCTCACCCCTTTCCCTCACCCCTTTCTTCCCACTCTCCCTCCCCACTTCCTCCCCCTCACATTCTGCGATCCTACGCCATTCTAGCGAGCTACACCCCTCGGCATCTGTGCACCCATCTTCTCTTGATCTCACAGACTGCCCCTACGCGTGGCCGTGGTGCCGCCAGCCCTTCTTCTATTCTCAATGCTTTCTCCTTCCTCTCTTCTCACCCTTCCCCTCCCCCTTCATTCCAGCCTGCGATCCCACGCCATTCTGGCGAGTTACACGCCACGGGCATCGCGCCATTCTGGCGAGTTACACGCCACGGGCATCCGTCCACCCTTCCACCCTCGACCTGACAGACTGCCCCTACGCGTGGCCGTGGTGCCGCCAGCCGCTCTTCGCCTCCGCCCTCCCCCTCATCATCAATGTCACCGTCCTCAACGGCATGGGGGTCACGGGCTGGCTCGCTGCCCCGCCTGTGTGGGTGGGTTCCTTCAGAAATCAATCTGCGTTTTCACTCCTCCTCTCCCTTCTCCCCCCTCCCCTCACCCCTCCTTCCCCTCCCCCCCAGTCTGCGATCTCACGCCATTCTAGCGAGCTACACACCACGGGCATCAGTGCACCCCGCCACCCTCGACCTGACAGACTGCCCCTACGCGTGGCCGTGGTGCCGCCAGCCGCTCTTTGCCTCTGCCCTCCCCCTCATCATCAACGCCACTGTCCTGAACGGCATGGGCGTCACCGGCTGGCTCGCTGCCCCGCCTGTGTGGGTTCCCACAGAGGTCAACCTCACCAGCACTGCTGCAGCTGCAGAGGGTAACCTGTCAAGCGCAGCTGCAGCTGAAGCTGAAGCTGCAGGTGCCAATGGCTTCTTTGTGAATGCTTCGGCCTCGAATTCCTCCTCGTCCGCCGCTCCGCCGCCCCATCGGGTGCTGCATGTGCGCTTCTCCTACCCTGCGGTGCTCTGGCCGTGGTCTGGTAATCTGGGGATCTACCTGAGGGTTCACCCACCTCAATGGTGAGCGGGAGAAGGGGATGGGAAGGAGCGCATTATATTGGGGAGAGAGGTGAAGGGAGGGAAGTGTGGCGATTCGCATGCCGCTCCAGGTTTCTCCTACCCTGCGGTGCTCTGGCCGTGGTCTGGCAAACTGGGAATGTACTCTCCTGAGGGTGCACTCCGCTGCAAGGCGTCTCAATAGTGAGTCGATTTTTTCCGGTGCGTAAAAAAGGGTGAATGTTCCTTCAGCTCTCCATCCCCTCCCTCTTTTCCCAAATGCCAGGCACCATAGCAGGCGCCATGCGCCATACACTTCACTCTCTTCTTATCCCCATAAGCTTCCCATCTTTACTCACTCCCCCCACCGCATTCCCCCCCGCCCATCCTCCCCAACTGCCCCCCCACCAAGCCAGGCACCATAGCAGGCGCCATTCACTTCACGGTCGTCTCTCCTCCCGGCCCCAACGAATCCGCCCCTCGCACCACCAACTGCTCGCTGCCCCTCCGCGTTGCCATCATGCCCACGCCTCCCCGCCACCACCGTGTGCTGTGGGACCAGTTTCACAACGTGCGGTACCCTCCAGGCTACATCCCCAGGTGCGTGCGGGTGTGCTCTCTGCTTTCTCTGCTTACACTGATTGCGCTTGCAACTGCCACGCTCATGCCCCCTCGCCACCGCCGCGTTATCTGTGACCAGTTTCACAACGTGCGGTACCCCCCGGGGTCCAAGGTGAGCGCTTGCTGTCCGTCAATTCGTCAAGGAAGTTTATAGGGCTGCGTGCTCTCCCTACCTCTCTCTCTACTGCTCGCTGTCCGTCTGTGTTGCCATCATGCCCAAGCCTTTCCACCACCGCCGTGTGCTGTGGAACCAGTTTCACAACATGCGGTACCCCCCGGGGGTACATCCCCACCTCTCCCCCACCCGCTCACCCCCGCACGGACTCGCTGGATGTGCGGAATGGCATTCTGGACTGCCACAGGGATCACCCCCACACCAACTTCCACACCATCACCACCTTATGCTCTCTGCCTCTCCACCTCTGCACTTCTCCCCCATTCCCTCACCCCCCAGGGACTCTCTGGATGTGCGGAACGACATTCTGGACTGGCACGGCGACCACCCCCACACCAACTTCCACGGGCTGTTTGCCGCTCTGAGGGAGTGGGGGTTCACGCTCGAGGTGCTGGGGTCCCCGCTCACGTGCTTTGATGCGCGGGAGTATGGCGCACTGCTGATGGTGGACATGGAGGAGGAATACCACGCGGAGGAGGTGAGAGGAGAGGCAGACAGACATACATGCTTCTACTGCCTCCTTACATGCTTGATGCAAGGGACCCTTCCCGTAGAGGGAGTATGGCGCGGTGCTGATGGTGGACATGGAGGAGGACTACCATGGCGAGGAGGTGAGTGTAGGATTTAGACATGTTTGGACGTGTGAAGAAAGGCAGACAGACAAACATGGTCCTTTCCCTTGGAGGGAGTATGGCGCGGTGCTGATGGTGGAATACCATGCAGAGGAGGTGAGAGGAACGAGATCTAGACACACTTGTCAAAGAGACCTGAGAGAGGTGGGCCTCATAGTGGTGTGGTGGGGGACTGGTACCACGTGATGTGCCCACCATGAAGCACATGCGCTTCATCTCATCTCCCCCTTGCATTCCCCTGCTCTTCCCCTCCTCTTCTTCCTTGCACTTCGCCCCTCACTTCCTCCCTGTGTGTCGCAGATAGCCAAGTTGCATCATTGCGTCACAGTGCGAGGGCTGGGCCTCATAGTGGTGGGCAACTGGTACCACCTGACGTGCCCACCATGAAGCACATGCGCTTCTTTCTTCTGAAGTCCTCCCACCCTCTCCCCTCCTTCCTCTGTGCGCTCCCCTCCCCCACTCTTGTGTGTGTGGCAGATAGCCAAGTTGCATCACGACGTTAGAGTACTCGGGCTGGGTCTGATAGTGGTGGGGGACTGGTACCACGTGATGTGCCTACCATGAAGCACATGGCCCAACCCCCCCGTCCTTCTCCTCTCTCCTTCCCCTGTGCACTCCCTCCCTGTGCGTCTCAGATAGCCAAGCTGCATAGGGCTGGGCCTCAGAGTGGTGGGCGACTGGTACTAAGTGATATGCCCACCATGAAGCCTCACCCCACTTGCATTCCCCTATTCTCTTGCACACCCCCCCCCCCCCCGCCCCGCTTTTTCCCCCGTATGTGTTTCAGATAGCCAAGTTGCATCACGATGTCACAGCACTGGGCCTGGGTCTCATAGTGGTGGGCGACTGGTACCACGTGACCACCATGAAGCACATGCGCTTCTTTGATGATAACACTCGCTCCTGGTGGACGCCCGCTACTGGTGAGCGAGAGCACTGCACTTCACACCTGCTGCTACTATGTCCCTTCAATGGTACATTGAGCCCCCATACACTCTACTCGACTGGTACCACGTGCCCACCATGAAGCACTTGCCAGTCTTTGATGACAACACTTGCTCCTGGTGGACGCCTGCTACTGGTACGTAACCCTGCTGCCATCCTCACTTCCGCTGCCGTCCTCCCCCGCACTCCCATCCTCACCATTACTTCTCTTCTCCTTGGTTCTTCCCCCTTTCTTTCAGGGGGGGCCAACGTACCAGCTCTCAACGACCTCCTCTCTCCTGTCGCCATCGTGTTCGGCAATGCCATTCTCTCCGGCACCTTCTATATCGGCGCCCATCGTATGACTTTCTCCCTCTGATTCAAACTCTACCCCCTCTCCTCCCCACATTCCTTCAGGGGGGGCCAACGTACCAGCCCTCAACGACCTCCTCTCTCCTTTCAACATCGCATTCAGCGACGCCATTCTGTCCGGCATCTTTTCAATCGCCGGCCATTTCATGAATCTCCCGTCCCTTCTCTCCCCTCCTCTCCCCACATTCCTTCAGGTGGGGCCAACGTGCCAGCTCTCAACGACCTCCTCTCTCCTTTCAACATCGCGTTCGGCGACGCCATTCTCTCCGGCACCTTTTCAATCGCCGGCCATAGAGCCTACTTTGCCTCGGGCACCGATATTCGCAGGTTCCCCAAAGGGGGGTACGTGCATCGGTTTCTGTTCAGGGATGGGTCGTCTGGAGGGGGTAGTGGAGGTGGAGAGGGCGGGGAAGAAGGGGGGGGAGGAGGAGGGGGAGGAGGGGGGGAAGAGGGGGGAGTGGCAGGAGGGGGGAGTGGCGGGTCGATTGTTTCGACTAGAGGGGGGAGGATGAAGAGTCAAGTTGAGGCTTCGGTGCTAGGGTTGGTGGAGAGGGGGAAGGGGAAAGTGGCGGTGTTTGGCGATTCTAATTGCTTGGACAGCAGTCACCTAGTAAGCGACTGCTTCTGGCTTTTAAGAGAGATGCTTAGTTTCGCTACTGAGGGGAAAAAAGACCCGACGCTGTTCCACCATAGGAATGAGCTGCAGGTTGCAATGGGGGGCGGCGGCGGGGAGGAGGGGCACAAGAATCGATCAGATTTGAGCCGGGGTTTCTCAGGGGAAGATTCGAAATTGGGTGGTTCGGAAGTTTTTGTGCTGCCCGAGAGGCGGACGGATGTGAATTTCACCGATCTGTCATTGGTTCTCGGCAAGCCGCTGGTGTGCGGGCAGGATTCGAAAGTTTTACGGGTCGGAAAGAAGCAGAGGAAGCCAGGTGTGGGAGGGAGAGATATGCTGAGGGGAGAGGGAGGGAGAAGGGTACGAGGTGGGTTGATGGGAGGACGGAGAGGAGGAGGCGGAAGAAGAATCATTGAGGAAAATAGGCCTGAGAGTGTGGGGGGTGGGGGTGGGGCTGATACTTCGGGGAATAAGGGTGTGGCTGATTCTCCCAAGTATGGGGCTGTGGCTGCCGATTTGGGGGATGTGGTTAATGTGAGGGAGGAGGAGGATAAGGGAGAGGAGAGGGGTCGTGATTATTCTTTTGAGAATGTAACACAGCAGGGAGAGAATTTGAAGGACGGGGAAGAGGGGTCGGGGGAAGTGAGGGCACGCGAGGAGGGAGGGAGGGAAGAGGGGGAAAGTGAAGAGGGGTCGGGGAGAGATGGGAAAGGGGAATTAGGGGTGGAGGGAGACGGGAAATGGGAAGGGGGCGCGGGAGGAGAGCAGGGGGCTATAGAGACAGTAGAACTTGGAGTGTGGGAGAAAGAGAAGCAGCAGGAGCAGCAGAAGCAGCAGGAGCAGGAGGAGCAGCAGGAACTCGGAATGGGGAGCGAGATAGAACGAGGATCTGATGGTGTAGAGGGGTTGAATGAGGTGAAAAAGGGTGTTGACAGTGTGAGGGAAGTTGATGATACTGCTGCTAACGGTGCTGCAGATGCTGGTGCTGTTGCTGTTTCTTCTGGTGCTGGTAGTGGTCATGCTTCTGCTACTGCTGCTGCTGCTGCTGTTGCTGCTGCTGCTTCTGCTGCTGCTGCTGCTGCTGCTGCTGCTGCTGCTGCTGCTGCTGCTGCTGCTGCTGCTGCTGCTGCTGCTGCTGCTGCTGCTGCTGCTGCTGCTGCTGCTGCTGCTGCTGCTGCTGATGGTGATTCTGCTGATACTGGCGCTGCTGCTGCTGTGAGAGTAGACGATGGCATAACGGAGAGAGTGGGGGGTAGTGGCAGCAGCGATGTTGCTGCTGCTGTGAGTGCGGATGACCTGTTGCTAGCAGGTGTTCTTGGAGGGGCAGAGGGGGGGCAGTCTCCTGGGAAGAGCATTTGGAGGCACTGGCACGAGCGGGAAGAGGAGGTGAGATCTGGGGGGGAGATGGGGGGAGATGGGTTGTAGATTGGGAGATGTGGGGAAAAAAGGGGAGGAAACAGGGGGAGGGCAGTCTGATGGGCGGAGCATTCGGAGGCACTGGCACGAGCGAGAAGAGGAGGTGAGGGTTGTGTTCAATGGGGGAGATTAAGAGGGGATGGGGGAAATAGAGCGGGTAGGTGGAGGGAAAGTAGAAGAGGAAGAGGATGCACTAAGCTGGGAGGAGGATGCGGAGCGGAGGGTTGGAGGGGACTGTGTTTAATGCACTCACATGTGGACTTACATATAGTCTTTCTCACATGCACATGCATCAGCCCATCTGGATCTGCATCGATGCTAATCCGTTGTTCGTCTGAATGTTTCCTCCTGCTCGTTCAATTCATTCTCTCCCGAAACCCTTTGATTCCTTCGTCCACATTCGTGCCTAAATGGCTCCTTCACCTTTTGCTGCCGCCCTTTCCCTCTCCCTCCCCCCCACCTCACCCCACCCCAACCCCCACTCTTCTTTCCCTTCCACTCCCTTTCTTTCAACCTGGATAAATCAAATCTGGATCAACTCCTGCTGCGCTCGAAACCTGTCAAAAACGTGCCTCACTCGTTCGACCTTCGAGGCGCCTCAAAAATCACCGCGACTTACCCAGCTTGATACGTTCTTCCCAATCATCGTTGCTGCCTCGGGTAATCTCTCTCTCTCTCTCTCTCTCTCTCTCTCTCTCTCTCTCTCTCTCTCTCTCTCTCTCTCTCTCTCTCTCTCTTACCCCCTCCATCTCCTTATGACACTCACCTTTCACATGACACATCACCGAATCCCTTCAGCCAGTCCCTATACTTGATACCCGCACTGTATCTCATAATCAGACCCATATTCAACACCATTCATACATACGTCTTAGCCACCTGCCCGGCTCTACACACAGATTCGTGCCTCATGCCGTCGATCATACTCAATTGCATTTCAAGCATCCAGTCCTTATTTTCGCCTCATACAGTCAACCCTATTTTTCTGCATCTTGCACACTAACCCTTGCGGTGTGTACACCCCAAACAACTTCAATTCACATACTACTCCACCTTTTTTTAATTGATTTTCACGTTCTTTGGAATTCGTTGTCTCATTATTAAATCTTTTCCTGATTAGAATTTTCTGTAACACCTGAGATGCCAATATTGTCTTCATACACCCGCACTTATCTGCATAGTTGCATGCTGCAATATCGTTCTGAAAACCAACTGAGCTCGTTAACATGTTTCCTTGATTGTCTTCTGCAGGTTTCATATTTCTGTGCGGTCTTTGGAGATTTCGACAAAGAAGAAACAGAAAGCCAAGGGCAAGAAGACTATAATGCTAAAATTTGGGGAGGTATAGATCACCGATGGCAAGCTGCACTACTGGCAGTGTACTGGATGGGAGATGTAAGGTATATATAGAGTCACCAGAAAAGCCAATTTCCCGTTTTGGGCGGTAGGACAAAGAGTTAACACCATTTTTATATACAATGCTGAAATTTGGTCTGAACGCGATGTGGTACTATCTGATAAGAGATTTGTTGAAGTTAAATCAATTGGGACTGCACACAAAAGAATTATAGAACAATATGTTTACATTCTATAGAACCCACTTTTCTAAATGTCCCCTAGTGCTACATTGACTTGATGACGACCTCGATATGCAGGGTCACGCTAAAAGTTACCCTGCCCGAAAGGGAAACTGTAGATGTCGTTTTCACTGGACTGGACGGAGGGAATACAATTGCAGTGATATGCATGCATACATCTGGGTGGTGTCGTCTCCCTTCCGTCACGCAGGCGAAAAAACAATTCAAATGTGTATGCTGCGCGTGGCGCTACAGAGCAGAATTGGCGAAGTCACCTGCACAGTTCATCAACTCGGCTGCTCTGCAGCAGGGATGATTTGTTTGATTTGAAGGCTATGTCCAGGACGCCTTTGACCCAATATTGAGTCTCACGTGTGTTTTCTGACGTGTCGATCGCTCCACCTCATTGTCGAACATCAACTCAGATGCTAATCGAGACCACAGGGATGTATGCAATGCTACCCTTTAATTGAAGCGGGTGGCTGGCTACCCCCAGAGCTGACGGGGGAATCACTAGGACATACATTCGCGGTACACATTCAGAGTTATCTCTGCTTCACTGTCACATCTGATTTAGATTACACAACAGTTCCAGAAATCAATGTACAGTGTATATCGTTCCCCAAACCTTTTAAAACCCCTCATATGTCTCTTCACCCCCAATCCTACCAGTCACAACCCCTGTCACCTCAACCACCTATCATCCAGTTTGAACTCTGTTCACCATAGAATATGTTTTTTTTGTTCAGCGCACGCGAATAATATCACTGTACAGTTTTCCCGGGTGTCAGCTTGAATCGTCCTTCTGAACAGCGATACTGTAACCCTCGGTAAGCCCGTGGGAAAACCCGGGCAGCGTATGAGTTTAGCGAAAAAGACCCAAAACAGTTTTGAATGCAGGAAGCTGCAAGCTTTCGATGTTTCCACAGAATGCACTGTGGACAATGTGGCTTGGTCCACACAGTGCACAACACAGTTTTCCTCCACTTACTGTATTTTCGTCCTTGTCGTGTTGTCTGACCAACGACCAACCACATTCGGCCAATTGTTTTCTCAATTGTAACCCTCTTGCGCCATCTCGCCTCGGCCCCACCTAGACCGCCCCGCGTCAATGGGTGCCTGCGGATGGACCAACACCAACCAGCTGCCTCCTCGGCTTGAGGTGGAGCGAAAGACCCCCTCATCAAAACCAGCCAGCCCGCCTCGTCACCTCCCGCGTTCGTCTTGTCTTTGTCCAGCGCCAAGACGCCACACCACCTTCAGCCGAATGGGCCTGATCCCAAAATATATGTAGTTCAATCCATATCAAGTTAAGTCAATTTTTCTTTCATGTCCCTAATCGTACTTAATTATCAACTCCTTCCAGCACCGTACTCTCATTTGTTTTTATTAGTGCTGAGTACGTAGTGTCCAGATGGTTAATCCGCGCTCTCCGCGCGTTTTCCGTAGCGCATCGACCCCCAGCTCGTCCAGTTCGTCTTCCGATGGGCCGTCGTCTTCGTTCTATGATCGGAGCGTTTCCATTGGCAGCGGCGAGTTCGCGTTTTCGCAAAGCCCAGCGGGGCAGCTCGAGGATCCAGGCACGCCAAGGCTCTTTCCCCGTGGCTTGTCAGACCCTGCTGCTGAACGGAACCATGCGCTAGGGACCTCCGATTTTGGTGACTTTCGGTTCGCGGATTTCAATGACGACCAGTCGAGAGTCGTTCGACGTGCCTCCGGAGAATCCGCCGTCGCCAACAGTGCTAGGAACGGGGTGGAAGGTGCTGATATGGCTCGAAGTGATACGGCTCCGCTGGCGCTGCGGAAACCAGCAGAGTGGGCGGAATGGCACTGCTGGCGGCATGGACGACAAACGAACGATATTCCGAAGCCTTCTGTCGAAGGTAAGATATTGAGCTTAGTATTGGAAGCTCGTCGGAGTGGCATTTCATTCTTGATTGTTATGATATGTCATGGTTGTGCTCTAAGCGTTCAGCTTTCCTCTTGCGCAGAAATTCGCCAGGCTTTGAGCGCGACGCACATCGAGGAATCGCGCAAGTGCATTCAGAAATCGGCTGCGGACGCGTGGGCGGCGCAGGAGGAGTTTAAGCGCGGCGTCGAGAGGGCCATGGCAAGACATGAAGCGGCCGCGAATATTATGGGTGGCACTTTTCTGAGCGGCAGTAATAGCATGATTGGACGTTTCCTGGAGCACATGATGGGAAAGAATTCCCACAAGGGTATCAAGGCTTGATAGGCTAGGTAGTTTCATTACATTCAATTTTATATGTATATAATGCATAATGCATTTTAGCATGGGTTGGTACAATCTTTTTTGGAGCAATGTTTTTGTTGTGGTGTAGTATTATTATAAAGCGAGACATTAATTATACCTGAAAATATGTTGCTGGCTGCGAACCGACCCTCCGCCCCTCGGCGCAACTAGCCTGCCTGGCGCCTTGCTGGCACCGAAGCGAGCCGAGTGTGCACAGCACGAAAACTGGCTGTCGTTCTGCTTGTTGAGTGTTCACTGTACCTAGGGCTTGGATCTGGACCAACCACTGCTGTGGCCGCGTGCTTCGTCAGCGAAAACCAAGCGGAAAATTGTTACTGTACTGTACTGCGCTAGCGAACAGGTCCGCTCCACTCACCTGTCTCTGGCGGACATTGACCGCCCCTTGTAATTTTTATCTGGCTGACAGTTATTTCCACGAATACAGTCACATCGGGACGAAAACCTATCAAAAGCTACAGTTACAAAATTGTCCGCTGCGCTTTAGGAAACCATTACATCTTCAACTAGGACTCCATGTGTAATAAAAACAAGACATACACACTAGTTCAGTGCAGAGCAGACTGCACACAAATTAAAGGGAACATTTGAGCAACATATTTTATCGTCTCCCAGCAATGAGAGTCGTTCAATTCCTCCCCGAAGCACCAGACCTGACTCAAAAAATGCAGCGCATGTGGGAAACACAAGACACACCAGTGCATGATGACACCCTTGTGTGCGCCAAATTATGTAGCGGAAAATTATACAACGCATGTACATACATGATCAGATAAATGTAAGGCCCGTATCTGTCCGCACGAGTATTTTTTTCTCGGGCAGTCATCAGAAACCTCAAACCACAGACCCAAAGCCCAACCTCCATTACCTCCTCTCCCCTTCCCCATGTCCTTATTTCCACTTTCCCAATGTATGAAAAAGAAAGAGAAGGGAGGAAAAGAAGCATGTAAAGAGGCATGGACGGGCTGGTGTCTGTGGAATTTCTGTAGGAGGGTTGTATCGGAGCCAGCAGCAAATTCTCCTGCTGCAGCCCTTCTTTTGCCTCCCATGCCATGGATTGATATGGTTTTGGCCAACTGCTAAGCCAACCGCAATAACTTCGGCAGCAAGCATCCCTTTCCCTCCATGTGCTTCTTGAAATGCCTCAGAATGCCAACAATGATTACGTCTGATGAAGTTTCTTTTCCCTTCCATGTGTAAAAGTGTAAGGCTCACCTTTCCATTCTGTTACTCTCACCCCCCTCCTCCCGAATCAGCCGCCCCACACCCACTCACCATGAAATGCATGCATAGAAACTGTTCTTCTGCTTCCTCCTCTCCTCCACCTCCTCCTCGGATCCTCCTCTCCTCCTCTCCTCCTCCTCGTTCTCGCTCTTTCCCTCCTTGCTCCTCACCGTCTCATCACCCCCTAACCTTCTCTTCCTCATCTTCCCCCCTGTCTTCTCCTTCTGTCCACTTGCCTTCTCCTTCTCTCCACTTGCCTCTTCCATCTCTCCCCAACACTCCACTCTGCCACACTCCTCCATATTTGCTCATTCCTCCGCCATTTTCACTCATCCCACCCTTCTCACTTCTCCTTTTCCTCCACTCCTCTCCTCCCCACCTCCTCTCCTCCAACCTTCACCTTCACAGGGTGTCGCATGGCATGCTCCTGCCACTGCAACCACTCCTCCGCGCCGCTAACAGCGCACAGAACACAAGGAGTAGCTTTCCACCCATGGCAAGTCTTGCAAAGCGCCCATCCAACCTTCCCCTTCACTCCCCCCAGCCCAGGAGCCGTAGCATACGCGCCTTTCCCGTCGCACGCACCGCACTGCACCCATCCCGACCCGTCCCCGCACAGCCCACACCACCCGCCGCCCGACCTGCCGCTTTGATCTGGAACGCGGTCACCGACGCCAAAGCTGAAGCTTTGGCTCGGGGCAAAGTCGTCCCCGAGCCTGCTGCTTTGGATCGGGACGGGGTCAGGGTCGGTGAGGAGCCCGCGGGAGGGTTTGGGGGAGCGATCCGCGGAGGAAGCGGCGGAAAACACGGTGCGCCAGGAGCGCTCGGGGGGTTCCTCTTCCGCACAATCCTCCGCTGAACTTCCCCCCTTCCGCGAGGCTTCCGCTCCGGTAGGTTGCGCCTCATCTCCCTCCTCCGCGCCGCCCCTTCCCGCAACACCCTCCTCCGCGACCCTTCCTTTCAGAAGCCTTCTCGCACCGTCACCCTCCGCGCGCTCACACGCGCTCGCGCCTTCGCCGTCACCCTCCTCCCTAGTCTTCGCTCGCTGAAGTTTTTCTTTCTTCTCCTCCCTCTCCTTCTTTTCTTTCTTCTCCTTCTTGCCCTTCTTCGCTTTCTTCTCCCTCTTCTGCCTCTTCTCCGTCTTCTGCCTCTCCTTCAGCATCGTCTCCTTCTCTTTCGTTTCACGTAGATTCTTCCCGCTAACCGTCTTCCTAAGCCCCTTCAACTCTTCGTCTCCGGAGCCTTTCCCCCCGGCGCCTTCGCCCTCCTCGCATTTTCCCCCGGGGACTTCACTCCCCTCGTGTTTCCTTCCGCCGTCTCCCCCCGCGGCCGCTTTAGCAGCCACCGCTCCGCAAACTGCAGCGGAGCCACGCTTCAGAAGCGGATCGCGCATCGCGCCCGCATGCGCAAGCCGCCGCGCAGGACTCTTTCGCCGCGTACTCCGCAGTAGTCGCAGGGGCGCGCTTGCGCCGATCGGCGTAAGCAGCGCGACAGGCGCGAAAGGCGCGACAGACTCGATTAACGCAAAAGGTGGAACATGAAACGCGGATCCGACAGCGTTCGTGACGCAAAGCGCGGCAGTTGGAAGTGACCGCGAAAGCACAATGCATGGCGGTGAAAGTGCTGCCATTGGCTGGTCTTGCTGCCAAGAATAATTGGTCCCAAAAATGAGTGAAGATTTATGTGAAGAACATCTGAAAAATATTTCCGCGTTACAAACTAGATCAGTTACAAATGTGTGCCGTGTACCGCGTCATTACCAACATTCGATGACCCAAAATGCAAGAGAAGCCTTTGTTATCAGAGCATAACTTGGTTTCTACCCTGTGCAAATTCTGTCAGTATGTCAGTGCGTATTTAGTGATGGTTAAAACAAGGGGCTCCAATAATGCTGCCGACCAATTAGGCTTTTCCACAAGAAACCACCCAACACAAGCATTTCTACTAACTCTCATCCCCTTCGAAAGCCCCCAGCTCCTTCATCTCCTCAATAAAAGCGGAATACGAGTTGTCAATACTCGGTGGTTTACTCGGCGCAGCAGCAGCAGTGGTCGCAGCAGTACTAGCTGTTGTCCCCTTCAAAGGCACCCAGCCCCTTCATCTCATCCATAAAAGCAGAAAATGAATCGGCGCTCCAGCAGCAGCAGCACCGGCAGCGGCAGCGGCAGCAGCGGCAGCGGCAGCACCGGCAGCGGCAGCGGCAGCGGCAGCAGCGGCAGCGGCAGCGGCAGCGGCAGCAGTGACCAGGGTAAGGGCAGGGCGGGAGGGAGGGGGGGGCGAGCAGTGCTGCTAGCTCTCATCCCCTTCAAAGGCACCCAGCTCCTTCATTTCCTCCATAAAAGCAGAATACGAGTCATCAATACTGGCTGGTTTATTCGGCGCAGCAGCAGCGGCGGCAGGCGTAGCAGCAGCAGCAGGAGCAGCCCGAGCAGCAGCAGCGGCGGCCTTTGGCTTGGGCTTCATCAGTGTATCCTGCCTTCTCACCCGCACGGACGCTGGGACCTGGTGGTGTGGAGTGGAGTGGTGGAGGGAAAGGAGAGGGTGGGAGATAGACAAGGAGGGTGAGGGGAAACAGCAGCAGCAGCGGCCTTGGGCTTGGGCTTCATCAAAGCCTCCTGCCTTCTTACTCTCACAGATGCTGGGACCTGGAGGTGTGGAGTGGAGTGGTGGATGGAAGGGAGTTGTGTGAAGTGATGGAGAGGAGGGGAGAGTGAGGGATAGACAAGGCAACAAAAAATCAGCTTCTGCAGCAGCAGCTCCAGAAACCTTTGGCTTGGGCTTCATTGGTGCCTCCTGCCTTCTGACTCGCACGGACGCTGGGACCTGGTGGTGTGGAGAGGAATGGTGGAGGGAAGGGAGAGAGAGGGAGATACACAAGGAGGGTGAGGGGAAACAGCAGAAGCAGCAGCAGCAGCAGCAGCAGCAACAGCTTTTGAATCAGACTCAAAAGCAGCAGCAGCAGTAACAGACTTTGGCTTGGGCTTCAAAAGAGCCTACTGCCTCGTCAATTAGTCGACTCAAAAGCTTCAAAAGTGCCAACTGCCTCGTCCCACTTTCCAACTCTCCCTCCCCCACCTCCCCTCCCTCCAACCACACCTCCGCACACGCACATGCTCGCACGAAGGTGCTCTTACCATGGCAGTCAGTTCCGGTGTGTGTTGTGCCAGAGGCCGTTTCACCACCATTGGTGTTGCCACCTTCACATACACTGGAGTGGCTGCAGTGCACAAGGGGGGCACAGGCACACCTCACACAACCACAGCTAACCCCCTTTCACCCCAGCACACATGAATGCTCACAAATGATCCCTCTCACCATGGCAGTCAGTTCTGGTGTGTGTTGTGCCAGGGGTCGTTTCACCACCATCGGTGCCGCCACCTTCACATACGCAGGAGTAGGCTTACCCTCCGCCCCTCCCCCTGCTCCTCCCGCTTCCCCTGCCCCCCCTACTCCTCCTGCTCCCCCTCCCCCTGCCGTTCCTGCTTCCGTTCCTACCCCGTCTCCTCCTCCCATCCCCCCACCCACTCCGCCAAGGGCTGCTGCTGGCGGGGGGCCGGGGGGAGGTCTCATCCCAGGGGGAGGCGGGGGGGGAATGCCCCCCCCCGGTCCTCCCCCCAGGCCCATAGGCGGACGACCAGGTGGAGGGCCAGGGGGAGGGCGCATGCCTGGGGGAAGGTGGGCGGGGGGGGCTAGGGCGCCTGGGGGAGCGCCAGGGGCGGGGGAAGGGTGTTGGGGGCGGAGGAGGTGTGCGGGGGGAGGGCCGGGGGGAGGGTGCATGGATGGGGGCGCGGATCCCATGGGTCTGGGGGGAGGGCCGGGGGGAACTCCCCCTATGGGGCGGGGGGGAGGCGGAGGGGGGAGGGTACCAGGGGGACCCCCAGGGGGGGCTCCTGCGGAGGTCATTGGTGGGGGGAAAACAGGTGGGCGCATGCCTGGGGGGAGATTGGGGGGAGTGGCGGAAGGGGGAGCTCCCGGGGTGATGCGGGGGGGAGGGGGAGGGGGAACCCCAGGGGGACGCGAGGAGGGGGCGGATTCGGGGGGGACGGATCCCAAGGGGAGGTGGTGACGGGGAGGAGGGGGAGGGGGGATTCTTTTCCCCTCGGCACCAGCAGCACCAGCACCGACAGCAGCACCAGCACCGGCAGCAGTACCAGCAGCAGCACCAGCACTAGCACCAAGCGGAGCAGTAAGATCAACCCCAGGCGGCCTAGCATCCTCCTCCTCTTCCCCTCCAGCCTCCCCTCCCCTCCCTCCCCCTGCCCCAGGTCGGGGGGGCGGGGGAGGGGGGCGCATCCCAGGGGGAAAGCCAGCGCGTGGGGTAGGCGGGGGAGGCTGTTGCAAGTGAGGGGGGCGGAATTCGGGGGGGAAACTCGGGGGAGCCATGCCAGGCGGGGCGGGGGGAGGGGGGGGCACGGGGACAGGTATGGGGAGAGGCATGGGGACGCCTGGGGGGAGGGTGTGCGCGTCTGGAAGAGGGGGAGGCGGAGGAGGCGGGGGAAGGGGAACCATTCCCGCTGCTGCTCTCCCTGCTGCCCCCCCTGCTCCCCCTGTGCCATGCATTCCCTCCTCTCCCTCCCCCTCCCCCTCTTCCTCCTCCTCCTCCTCGTCCTCTTCATCCTCCTCCTCATCTTCATCCATTGAATCCCCCTCCTCCTCATCCTCATCCTCCTCCTCTTCCCCTTGCCCTGCTGATGGTCTCGCTGCTCTCAGTTGAAAGCCCAGGCGAGGAGGAGAGAGTCAAGGAGAGAAGGGCAAAGATGGGACAGACAGAGGAAGGGGGTAAGTGTGGGAGGGGAGCGGATGCGGAGTGAGTGTGGGAGGGAAGAGGGTGAGAAGGAGTGAGTGTGGAGTGTCATTCAGTAACCAGACATGGGGCGTTCAGGTGAATAGTCACGGCTGCACACTCACAGAGACAGGGCCAATACATGGGTGCTTTCCCAGGCGGAGGCTGCGTGATAACAAATGAGAGAGGGGGGGGGATACGTGGGATCATTCGCGTCGACAAAATAGCCACAGCTGCACACTCACAGAGAGAGGGCCGATACATGGGCGCTTTCCCTGGCGGGGGCTGGCCCGACGGATTCAAGGTTGGATGATAGTATACAGAATCCTGTGCATTCGCGAACAACCAGGTTCATTGCAAGCAGGATACAAGCAGGATACAAGCAGGATACAAGCAGGATACAAGCAGGATACAAGCAGGATACAAGCAGGATACAAGCAGGATACAAGCAGGATACAAGCAGGATACAAGACAGGCAGAAATATATTGCTAGTGAGACTCCTTAACAAAGTGAACTCAAGCTCTGTAACATTTCAAAGCTTATGGAATTGGCCCATAGCGTAGCACGCACGCAGGGGATGGGGGTATGGTATGCTTTTGGGTGGGAGGGTGCGGGGGGTTGGACTGAATAGCCTCGGCTCAAGCCACTTACCTGGCCTCAACTCAACACTAACGTCTGGGCCACGGGTTCCAACGGCAGATGACAAAGCATGGTGCTAGAAAAAAACTGCACATAGCCCGAAAAAGTACTCCATTCCACTCCCTTCCACTCCACCCCACCTATCCGTACAACCAAAATCCTCCCTCTTCCCCCTCTCCCCACTCTCCCCCCTCCCCCTCCTCGTCCTCCTCCCCCTCCTCCTCCCCAAAGTCACCTAGTGGACCCACACGCACCTCTGGGCGAAGGTTCCTGATGGCTTCGTTGGTAGACTTGCGAGGGGCAGTGAGGTGGCTGGCGGGTTAAGAGAGCAGAGGGCCAAGAAGGCAAAACGGGGGGATTGCATGGGGGAAGGGCGAGGACAGAAAGTGGTACTTAATTTTGTGTTTGCTGGGAAGAACGGAGATAAGAGGCAGAACGGAAAGGTGCGCAGTGAATAACAATGGGGTTGGGGAGGGGGGAGCGGTGACAAAACAAGGCTGCAATGAAAATGGGTGCACTTAGTTGATTGGCAGGTGGGAAGAGGGGAAGCGGAGGCAGGACGAAATAAGGAGTGCCAGTGACTGGGTAGTGACTAGGAATAAGCAGCGATTGTTGAGCGGGAACATCGCTGCAACAAGGAGGCGTTTGGTCTCGTGCTGAAGCAGCTTGTAAAGGGTACAAGGGGTAGAGGTTTCTGACCAAGGGTCACCTGAACATGACTGGATCCTCTCCCCGTTCCCTCATTTTCTGCTCAAACTCCTGCTCAGAGAGGCGGGCAGCAGTGGACGGGAGAGACGGAGAGAAGGAGTGAGTGAGAAGGCAGTGGGATGAACATGACTGGGTCCTCCCCCCGCTCCCTCATTTTCTGCTCAAACTCCTGTTCAAACGAGGGGGCGAGAGGAGAGAGGCGGGCAGCAGTGGACGGGAGAGACGGAGAGAAGGAGTGAGTGAGAAGGCAGTGGGATGAACATGACTGGGTCCTCCCCCCGCTCCCTCATTTTCTGCTCAAACTCCTGTTCAAACGAGGGGGCGAGAGGAGAGAGGGGGGCAGCAGTGGACGGGAGAGACGGAGAGAAGGAGTGAGTGAGAAGGCAGTGGGATGAACATGACTGGGTCCTCCCCCCGCTCCCTCATTTTCTGCTCAAACTCCTGCTCGCACAAGAGTGGGGGGGGGGGGGGGGGGGGGGTTGGAAAAGGGTACGGAGGGGTGGGAAGGGTTGGACAAGGGAGGGGAGGGGTGGGAAGGGTTGGAGCGAGCGGGAGAAGGAAAAAGGAGGGGGTTGAAGAAGGAAGAAAGAGAGAAAACGGGGTGATACAGAAATAAACGGGAGAGGCGAGTGGAAGTCAGACTAAACATTCTCTTTTTCTCAAGACAGTCAGAATACTCTCAGGCCGTACGTAAGGCATTTTCAACACAGCAGTCATTGCGTCTCTCCTTTTTTCACCAACACAATGTTCCCAACCCAGCTCAGCACCATCCTTGAACACCTCGCACTACCCCCACTCCCTTTTCCTCCGCTCTTCCCCCCAACATCGCTCACCTTACGTTTCTTCAGCACCAGCTGTAGCCGGTCTTCCAGCTGCCTCAGCTTTCAGTCACTCGCTTACCTATTACACACACACAACCCTTCTCCTCCTCACCCTCTGTCCCCCCTCTCCCCTCCCCATAACCCACCTTGCGTTTCTTCAGCACCAGCTGTAGCCGGTCCTCCAGTTGCCTCAGCTTGTGCTTGCGAGTCTTCTCCATGGGGCCCTCTGACTCTGCAGTGACAATCAGTCACAGCGCACAGCAAATAGGACACGGTACATGGCACACACACAGCGCACAACAAATAGGACACGGTACATGGCACACACACAGCGCACAACAAATAGGACACGGTACATGGCACACACACAGCGCACAACCAGCACAGACAGCACACAGCACGTCACATAAGGGTCTGAGTGACATCATCCAGCTGCCTCAACCTGTGCTAGCGGGTATTCTCCATGGGTCCCTCTGACTCTGCATTGACAATCACCAGCACACACGTCTCACACGGCACACAGCACATACAACACACACAGGACACACAGCACACACAGCACAGACAGCACACACAGCACACACTGCACACAGCAGACACGGCACACAGCACACACGGCACATCACACCCGGCAGACATTTTCCAGCTGCCTCAGCAGAGGTTGTGCTTGCGGTTCTTCTTTTCAAAACTTGGACGAGAATGAGGAAAAAAAGGGGAAGTGAAGAATAAAAAGTGGAAAGGCATGAAGGAACAGACATCGAAATCCGACGTGACTTTTGAGTCGACTCAATGTCTCAAGGGGAAGTCGACTCAATGTCTCAAGGGGAAGTCGACTCAATGTCTCTAGGGGAAGTCGACTCAATCTCTCAAGAGGAAGTCGACTCAAAAGCCATCCGTTCGCGGATGGATTTGTCTACGGTGGACAGGTGGGCTGCGGAGGCCTTGTGACATGTAAATCAGTATCCAAATCAAATAGAACGTGGAAAGACATAACGGAAAAGGCATCGAGATCCGCTCGCGGATGGACGCGTGGTCGCTCCGTCGAACTAGAGGATCACGAAAGATTTAACGAAAGGCGTCAGGGAAAAGAAGCAAAGCGGGAAGACACACTAGCGTCGATGAGCTTGGCGATCTGCTCGCGAATGGATGCGGTTTATCGAGAGCCATATTCGCGGGTTCAAAACAAGTTAAAAGGGGATGGCGGCAGAGAGAGGGACGGGGAGAGAGGGAGAGAGAGGGAGAGAGAGGGAGAGAGAGGGAGAGAGAGGGAGAGGGGGAAAGGGAGAGACGACGCACTCGCGGCGCTGAGCTTGGCGATCTGCTCGCGGATCGCGACCGGGTCGCTGCGCAGAACGCCGGTCTCGCGGACCTTGCGGCGCTCCACCTTGTTCTTCTTGATCTCGCGCTTCCGCTGCTCCTTGCGGAACGAGTCCGTCGGATTCATCGTCCGACCGCCCTTGGTCTTCCTCATCTTTCCGGATGCCTAGTTGGATTAGTATGTCTAACTATGTATTTAAAGAATTTCCCAAACTCGATGATACCTACAATGATGAATTCTACGGATTTGTTACTACAACCACACTGACAAACTCTTGAGAAAGTTCGTGGAAAGAGCTATCGAAAATTGCAGTGGTCTAACTAATTAGGATGGGTTAGCTACGTCAGAGGATTGCTACAAAACAGTGAGACAACGGTGAGACAGGCTCTCAGGCTGACACAAGTCGCATATGCAGTGATCATAAACCTGATGTTTCCAAATATAATCACCCAAAGGTGTATAAAGTGGCTATGCCAAGCTACATGTAAGACGGAATCGCGCGGCGAAATCACGCAACGATTAGGGTGATGAGAGAGAGCAGGCCAGAACGACGGGGAAATCACGCAACGATTAGGGTGATGAGAGAGAGCAGGCCAGAACGACGGGATAGAATCTATATCGATTCTAGAACTCAACCTCTCAGCTTCTGATCTTGAGAATGACCAGAGAGGGTAGCAGGGAAAACCAGGATAACTGGGGGATTCCTAGGTCGTGAATGATGAATTATCTGAGTGCGACGAAAACGAATTCACGAAGTAACACTCTAGCTCCTTGCAAAACTTCACGACGACACTAAGGGCGTGTGTGATTTTATTTTTGGTATAAGTTTGCCTTTTAAAATCGAATATAGTATCTGAACATGAGGTGAACAAAATTCGACTTTCGTTGATGGCAAAGTAAGATCCAAAACGGTTGAAGCACAACCACACACCCAAGTTCGATTTTGCACGTTCAACCTGGGAGTGAGCCGAGCCGCCCGTAGGTTATTTTGGATTCAGTGGTGCGTTCATTGGTGCACGAACAAATCGCGCAATTCGTCAACTTCTCTTGCGTGCCCAAAATAACATGTTCGATTCATCGTGCACTCTCACGTTCGTGCGTAGATTCGAGCCTTGTTCACTTTTTGTTGGTCGCATTTGTGTGTTTCCGATTTAAAGTGATTTCCGCCAGCCATGTCGGCGACGTTGGCGAACGAGGTAACCAGCTAAAGTTCGACCCAAATTACGAACCTAAAACAATTTCACATACGCCCTAATTTCCGCCAGAGTCGGCAGCAACCGAATTTTAAAGCCAGGATCTCAAGTAAGAGAATTGGCCTTCAATTGCAAAACACTTGCAGCGCTTGTTACCCTATTTTTGTAGGCGAATTGACTGGCTGGTTAGGAAAGTGAGCGTGCGGCACACCCACGATTTTGCCCCTAGAGCAAATGCAAAACATTTTGCTGGTACATGAGATTGTTGTGTGTGACGAGAAATTGCAGGCATTGGAGCTTCGTCACCGAACCAGTTTCCGAGCCTTGCTTGGTTCGGACTGAACTTGCGATTTGTCTTTACTTCGCACCCCTCGCTTTACACCTCGTCAGATTGTTCACCTCGCTAACCAATCGCAGCCCAGCTCCCCTCACCAACTGCAAAACAATTGAACTACTTGAGATCCTGGCTTTAAGAAAGGGCCGCCGCCCGTGGGGCTCGGACCCACGACCACAAGGTTAAGAGCCTTGCGCTCTACCAACTGAGCTAGGGCGGCTGTACTGCGGAGAAGAAAAAACATTCTATCAACTATAAAAACAACAACTCCCGACCACCTTCAAGTTACTATTTAGAAAGCATTTTCCAGCTTCGCGCCGCCATCTAGCACGGCCTGCAGCCATGGCGCGTAACGAGGAGAAGGCGAACGCCGTGCTGAATCGATTCTGGGCCGCGAAGCAGGACGAGAAGCGCAAGCCGCGGGAGAAGCGCCCGTTCCTCGCGTCCGAATGCCGCGACCTATCAGACGCCGACAAGTGGCGGCAGCAGATCCTGCGCGAGATCGGACGGCGGGTAACCGAGATTCAAAACCCCGGGTTAGGCGAGCACCGAATTAAGGATCTTAACGACGAGATCAATAAGCTCATACGGGAGAAAGGGCACTGGGAGAAACGGATAGTTGAGCTTGGCGGTCCGAACTACGCGAAACAAGGACCCAAAATAACTGACGCGGACGGTAAAGAAGTTGGCGATGGAGACGACGAGCTGCCGGCCGGCTCCGCGACCGGCAAAGGGCTTGGATACCGTTACTTCGGCGCTGCGAAGAACCTGCCGGGCGTTCGCGAGCTTTTCGAGAAGCCGACAGCGCCGACTAAGAAGCGGAATCGGTACGAGCTTTACAAGCGTATCGATATGGACTATTACGGGTACAGGGACGAGGAGGACGGGATCTTGGTGCGGCTCGAGACGGAGGCTGAGCGGGAGATTATAGAGAAGGCGGTGCGGGAGTGGGAGGAGCTCGAAGCGGTTAAAGCCGAGGCGCGCCGCGCCGTGAAAAGCGGGGAAGAAGCTTCAATCCGGGTACAGACGGATCTGCTAGACGAGCTCGGCGCTCCGATCGAGACCCGGGAATCGCGGGAGCGACGCGGGGTCGTAGCACAAGAGAGAGAGGAAGCGGACGAGGAGGAAACGGAAGAGGATCGCGAGGAAGCGACGGAGCGCGCGAGGCGCGAGGAGGCAGCGTTAGACGCGGCGGAAGAGGCGGCGCTGGATGCGGTGGGCGGGCGGCGGTTCGTGGCGCACGTGCCGCTGCCTGACGAGAAGGAGATCGAGCGGATGGTGGTGGCGAAAAAGAAGGCGGAGCTCTTAAGTAAGTACGCGAGCACGGAGCTGGTGAAAGAGGAGGAGGAGGCTAAGGAATTGCTAAACATCAAGCGGTGATGATGAGGATGAGTGGGTGATGTTAGGTGGAGGTTGACACGTTAAGAGGTTGGAATGCCAGCTGGCATGGCATGATTGGAGGGGACGTGGCATGCATGTGTTGGGTGGAGGCGAGGTGTTGCTGGAAGAGGAGGGGGGAGCAAAGAAGCTGGTTCATGTTGAGTGGTGATGAGATGACGTGGAGATGCATGGGCATGCTGACGTGGCATGTTTGGAGTGGATGTGGTGAGGGTGGTTGGGGGAGGGGAGGAGAGGGGAGATGAGAGAGAGGGGTGAGGGGAGGGAGAGTGGAGAGGGCAGAGGATATGATGAAGGAACGAGGGGAGGTGGAAGGAGAGAGGAGAGGAGGAGGAAGGAGAGAGGAGAGGAGGAAGGAGAGAGAAGAGGAAGGAGAAAGAGAGGAGGAAGGAGAGAGGAGAGGAGGAAGGAGAGGAGAGGAGGAAGGAGAGGAGAGGAGGAAGGAGAGGAGAGGAGGAAGGAGAGAGGAGAAGAGGAAGGAGAGAGGAGAGGAGAAGATGAGGAGAGGAGGAAGAAGAGGAGATGAGAGAAGGAAGGAGAGGAGAGGAGGGGAGGAAGGAGAGGAGAGGAAAAGGGGAGGAGAGGAGGAAGGAGAGGAGAGGAGGAAGGAGAGGAGGACGGGACAGTTCTAGAGGAGGTGTTGTGTGACCTCTAACGAGGCGACCTTTTGAGTGAAGTACAAAGGATAGGCTGATGATGAGGTTAGGGCTAGGGGTGGATATTTGAATGACGAGCCAGCCTGATGTGCCATTTTGCAATACCTAAGTCTCGCTTGTATTTGACTACTGCAATGGAGAGAATAAGCCTACCCGTAAGCTCATCTGCTTTTCCAAACTGGGCATCCACGCATTTCTCACATCTGACATGTAACGCAACACGATACGTTTGAAGTGATCCCCATTATCCCTATACATTCAAGCAGCACTTCTCAGGAGAATCGGCAGAGGTGGTTGTTGCCTCAGGAAGGGGTTTGACTCAGGGGCTGTAGGTTTGCCTCTGGGAATTGGCTTCAGGCACAGTAGGGTTGCCTCAAACGCTCTAGAAGACATCAGGGGGGGCAAGCGGGTCCCTGCCGACAGTCTTGAATGAGGTCTGAATTTGCCGCAGCAATGCCTCATCCCTGGGAGTGTGGAGGCAGGAGAGTGGGGATGGGGGAGGGAGAAAGGGAGCAGGAGAGGGAGAGGAATGGGAGAAACAAACTGACTTAAAGCTTATGCTTTCTTTTTTTCAATTCCTGTTCACGGTTGTGAATGAGCTGTGAATCTGCCACAAAATGCCTCATCCCTGGGCGGGCAGGAGGAGGTGGGAATGCCATTGGTTAAGACAGAGATGAAGGACAGAAGAGGGAATATTTGAGTGAGAGGGAGTAGGTGGCAGGGCAGTGACAGGCCAGGAGAATTGATGCCTTACGTCTTCAAGAATTTATACAGTGCAGACGAAGTGAGAGTAGAGCTTGCTCTTTATTACCGTGGGAGCAGGCAGTGAGGGAGGCGGGAAATGGAGAGCACCAAGCAGTGGACAGGAGCAATGGTGCACGGGACATGACTCACGTTTTCCAGTATTTATCCGGTGCGTTGACGAAGTGTGCGTAAAGCTTGTTCTTGGCGGCAGTGACAGTGATGAGGGCGTGGCCCAGTGGGCTGTCAATCTCAAAGTCGTAGTACAGCTGGTTGCTCTCCGCATCCCGGTGCTGCCCCTGCTTTATCTCGTCCGCCGACAGAATCAAATCCTGCAAGAGGGAGGAGGGGGTGGGAGAGGGGGAAAGAAGGCGGAGACGGTCTCAAAGGGGGATACCAGTGCTGCGCCTGCTTCATCCCGTCTCTGCGGAATCAGATGCTGCAGGTGGGGGGAATGGGGTGGGGTGCACGTGACTGTAATGAGGGCGTGGCCCAGTGGGCTGTCGATCTCAAAGTCGTAGTACAGCTGGTTGCTGTCCACGTCCCGGTGCTGCCCCTGCTTGATCTCGTCCGCCGACATAATCAAATTCTGCAAGAGAGGAGAGGTTGAGGAGGGGGAGATGGGAGTGGGGTATGGCAGGGTCAGTAAAAGGGCTTCGAACGACATGTCCCTCAATCGCCATCTATGCATGCATCCAACCGTACGATGACCATCCTACCAGCCTTCCTAATAGCATCCACTCGTCAAACTCAATTCAACCGCACAGCTCCTTCCCCGTCTCTCCTCTGAACTTTTCACCAGCCCCATCCCTTTGTGGCCACAGTTGACGT